CCAAATTTGTTAGTTTTCGAGATAATAATTTTTATCAGAAAAATTTGGCAGTTACAGCACCAACCTAAGCAGCTTTAGAAGGCATTGCGATATTCACATGTATGACACCAGAAACAAAAGAAATATCCTACCGAAGAAAATTTGTCACTCCATGCAAAAAAGCTCCAGTGACTACTGGAATTCGTCTATTCAACATTCTGTCCCTCGAATTGAGAGAGAGAGCAGACGTCCAGATATCTTCAAACGCAAATTAAAGAAAGTACTGGCCGAAGGATGCCTTTACTCTCTCCATGAATTCGGACTTTTTTATCGTTAGTGACTTTCATTACTGACCTTCTCATGTTTCTTCATATTTTGCTTTATCTTTGTGTGATTTTTCACAGGCATAACATTCAATCTTTCTTTTTAACCATTATTTATGTTTCTCATTTTAATTGTATATATTCATCAGACACAATTTAATTTGTGAACTTGGACTAAACCGATCCATTTCTTGTGATTAGGATATGGATGCAATAAAATTTGAATTTGAATTTGAATTTTTGAAAAATTAACCACTTTTCTACATTAATCCGAAGCGAATATAATTTTTCTCATTAAAATACGCTCTCCACGGCCCACAAAAAATTCTGCGATATTATTTCAACCATTCCAATACCCAATATCCAATTTTGTTAATTTCATACACTTAGACTCATGCATACACGTGATCAACGCCCTCACCTCGGGTTGACCAATGGGAAATTCTTCCATTCACGTTGTTGCTGGAGGTAATAACATGCTCATTATGGCTTTCTGATTTAATATTTTTCATCTTACCCAAAGGGTTGAATGGCCAATGGAATCGGATGAGAGTCACGACAAATGAAAAAAATGGCGAATATGTTGCCGAGCAACTTCAACAATTTCGTTGTTTCACGCAAGTCGGAAATTTTGGTGCATGAATACGAGTTGAACAAATTGCACTTCTAGACTATAAGTACCTCTTCCTTCAAATTGATTTCGCTTGTTTTATTTCAAACATATTTCGTTTCATGAGTACACAGACATTAACTGATTTCGTGTTGAGTTCAAGTGCTCTTCTCAAATAAATTGAAAGGGGAGAAATTTTTCAGGAGACATTAATTCCTGAAGAAAAAGTCTTATATATAAATCACAAATTATTTTAGAAATTTGTATACACATTTGTGAGTGATGTAGTAACATACATGACTATATTACTGCATGTATGCACTATTTGGAACTATTGGTGTGGTAATAAATATCACTGGAGGAAATAATAGAATAAATCATTCCTCAAGCTATCAAAAACTTTCATACCGATCTTATGTTACAGTTTCAAACGTCGAATCTTAGAATCGTCCCCAAGTTTTCGATTAAAACTTAAAGACCAACCTCCTATGACACCTCCCGCAGAGCAGAATTAGGCGGATCTTCTCCATGGGGTACCGCGGCCCTGTTTCACTGCAGTAACTAATTATAACAATCATTAAAGAAGTTTATCAATCAATGTTGTGAAGGAATCGTAGCGAGTGGACGAGGCTGTTTCGATTATACAGTGCGGACGTGAAAAATCCCCTCCCCCTTTTAATTTTTGAACTGGGCCAGACAAAATTCACGCAAAGAAGCAATACTTTCGGTACTTTTCGGTGAACAAAAAAAACAATAGTTTGACGTGCTTCACCACCGAATATTCAGTAGTTTTATATTTTGAAAATCTGAAAACAAACGATTTCAATAAGAATTTTATTGGAAACTCCATATTTCATAATATATCAGACTTCTTTATTTTCATATGAACTGAAAATCAACTATTTCGAATTGAATTTCAAAAATTCACCTTTCCACTGTAAGTTACTACACAGTGGAAATTCCTCTGCGGATATAATTCGATGTTCATCTTCATATTCGCCAGGAAATTAGTTACTTTCCAGCATTTGCTGGATCTCACTGTGTAGTAATATAGGCAAAGATGACTATTGTGAATCAAATATTCATAGGAACATTTTGGATATCATCCATTTTTCAACAACATATTTGTTTCAGTATTGGTACAAAAACGTCTGAGACGAGAAAAGCGAATCAGGAGACAGTTGAGCGAGCAGTTGGATTTAGAAAACAAAAGGAGAGCTCAACTTGAGGAGGCACTTCGAGCTGTTGGAGCTTCGGACAAAATAGTAACAATAAACGGTAAGTTTCACACCAAATTGGCATTTTTTTATTTTCTGTCATTCTGGATAATTAAAATGAGCTGTAACACATATTTTCAAGGCTTTAAAATATATATAAAGAGTATAACTAATGAAATTTCGTTTTTTACCACAAAAAGGTTTACAAAACCGCAACATGTGTTTCGCTGAACGACAGCTTCCTCAAGCAGGATTTGATTGCGATACTTTGCTGCCCGCTTGAGGAATCTTTTTTTCAAGGACAGAACACAAACACTACAAAAAACCCTAAAGCGGTGCCTGTGTGAAAGTAGCAAATCACATTGGATTTGAATCGCTGGAGATCAAATTCATTTGGAAAAACGTTTTCAGAAAGTTTATTCCACATAACCGCAGCTCTCCAAATGAAAGCACAATGACAGTCAGTTTATCATGAGCAAACGCATTGTGAATATTGAGCTGTTTCAAATTAGCTTGACTAGACGTTTTCGAAAAATAATTCCGGTATTATGGATTTCATTGTCGTATGACGAAAAAAGAGACGCCGTTTCCTAAACCTTCCATATTGAAAATCAAAATGAATTTTATCAGTGAGTTTTGATATGGATTTAGTTTTGGCCAGGTTCTTTTGGAATTTCATGTTATTATCGTTCAAAAAGTTCATAATGATAATAATAATCTTTATTGAAGTAGGAAACCTAACAT